AAACCCTAAACCCTAAACCCTAAAGCTTAAGGGTTAGGGTTTAGGTTTTAGGGTTTAGGGGCCGGAGGAGAGCATAAGCCATACATGGTCGTCATTGTCTATACGCCGACGAGGATGACCCTTCTCCTTTCCGCGACCAAAGCGTCTGAAGCATGCCCTGGTGATGTCGGACAGCCGCATCCATGTAGGGTTTAGGGTTTAGGGTTTAGGGTTTAGGGTTTAGGGTTTAGGGTTTAGGGTTTAGGGTTTAGGGTTTAGGGTTTAGGGTTTAGGATTTAGGGTTTAGGTTTAGGGTTTAGGGTTTAGGGTTTAGGGTTTAGGGTTTAGGGTTTAGGGTTTAGGGTTTAAGAACATCAGATTCGGGTTTTGTGCGCATCTTTCGGTCAGCTGGACAACTAAGTTTGCGGCGCAGTCGGCTCCCGAGCAAGCGGCTCCGGCTTAATTGGGGGCCATGAGACTGTCCCGGGGTGGCCACGGAACGAATGCTTTCCTAAGTAGCCACCCTCTTTCAAGGTGCTATGGTCGACATGGCATCATATTCACACAAGGCGGTGCCGCCAAGGGACATCGCTGTATGCCTGGGGATTGAGAGTGAGGGAACTGAAGGGGAGAACTTCCATTCTGGGAGCTAGTGCCTCGAGTCCGTTCCGAAAGCCCTTCGCCTTCGTTTGGGAACCCCCCCCCCTCAAACCCTCTAAACCATGAACCCCCCTGAATCCCCCTAAACCCCCCTAGACCGCCCCCAAACTCCGAAAGCTGAAACTCCACAAGATGGCTTGCCAGCTGTCCCAGGCATCGTCACCTACGTCTCCCGCAGTTGAGGCCGGAAAGCCCTGCAGTTAGGGACAGGTTCTAGCGTTTAAGGTTTAAGGTGCATTTCAGGGTCTTTTGGGGGGCATTATAGAGGTCTATAGGGCTTATGGGAAAACGAGGTGTTGAGGCTCCAGAGCTTTTAGAGTCTACCCAAAGTCTCCAATGTAGTTCCTTTTTGGGTTGGTTGTAGGATGTTATAGGGGATTCTAGTATACTACCCCAAAAAGGTACTACATAGGAAGGAGCCTTTGGGTAGGGGTGTTGGGGATCCAAGGGTGCTCGATCTGCGGGTTTTGGGGTGGAGGCTGTAGGGCTCCTGCCGCCCTGCGCGCGAAACACGTTGCCCTGAACCCTAAAGGCTTCGAGGGTTTAGCATTTCTGGCTTTAGGGTTTAGGGTTTAGGGTTCTATAGGGTCTACGAGCCTGGAGGCTGGTCCACCTGGGACGCTCAAAGCTGCCAAGCGGAAGCATGCTGACGGCAGTCACCAGCAAGATGGAGGCCGCAGAGCCTGGGTGTGGCTCCGTTCCCAGTAGTGGCGCGGGGCCCACTAGGGCGTGCTTCGACGAAGTTTGGCAGTACGTCACTCGCACTCACAGAACTGGCGAACCAGGCGCATGCAAGCTGCCTCAGCAGCCTTGGCCGCAGCAGCGGGGGCTGCAACCCATCTTAAACCCTAAACCCTCAACCCTAAACCCTTCAGGGTGGGCTGAGGGCTTTTTCGCCCACAGCCCCAGAAGCCGGGAACCCTCAGGTCAAAGCGAGAAGGCCTCCACGCGCTGAAGGCCTTAGGTAGGTAACTCCCGTGGCTCCGCACCGCAGACCTTGTGGGCCCTATAAACGACAAAGCCAGTTCTCTACTGGGAGGTTCATTAGTATACAGTAGTTATAAGTAGGGTAGCTAGCCATAATTCTAACTGGTTATATATTGTATGCTTGCTTAGGGCACCTGTAATCCTACTTCTAGCTACCCACGTGAACCTTCAAGTAGCCCAAAACCCTAAAGCCTAGACCGCAGACCCTAAACCCTAAACCCTAAAGCCTACACCCTAAACCCTAAAGCCTAGACCCTAAACCCTAAACCCTAAACCCTAAAGCCTAGACCCTAGTCGCCGAGGTGAACTCGCGACCCGCACCGGTGCCTGTGCGCGTTGGCGGCCTCGGACACTTTCGAAAGGTTCAGGGATTCAGGTTCTAAGCCCTAGGCCCTAGGCTCTAGGCCCTAAACCCTAAACCCTAAACCCTAAACCCTAAACCCTAAACCCTAAACCCTAAACCCTAAACCCTAAACCCTAAACCCTAAACCCTAAACCCTAAACCCTAAACCCTAAACCCTAAACCCTAAACCCTAAACCCTGACCTTAAATCCCAAACACAAGGAAGGGTCTTAAGGCCATGTTTGGAGCCCAGACTCCGGCCCCGCGCGACCCCGCAGTTCGAAAGGGAGCCGTTCAACCCAGGGCCCCTGAGTTCAGGGTTTAGGGTTTAGGGTTTCGGTTTAGGGTTTAGGGTTTAGGGTTTAGGGTTTAGGGTTCAGGGGAGAAAAGCCTGCTCTGAAAAGAACGCAATAGAGCCCTACATGGGGCTCTAATTCGGTACTTGTGCAAACAACAGAAGAGTTTGGGGTTTAGGGCTTGGAAGGCTGGGGGGTGGTAAGAGTTCCCCCTTCTTTCGAGGGACTCTTATCCTGTGGCTCTATCCCTGCAAAGGACTTTCACCGCAACCCCGGATTGCCTACTTACCATTGCCATAATTGGCTAGCATTTTACATATGTTTAAGGGTACTTAAACCCAATAAGGAATAAACATGCAAATGTTTATTACTATCCCAACCATGAACTAGTTGCTGCCTTTAGACATGTGAAAAGGTTCACTCCTGCTTCGCTGAAGGTAGACACATTTGCAGGTAGGGAATCGAGGGGCTGCTCAAAGTTTAGGGCTTCGCAAGGTTTCGGGTTTCGGGTTTCGGCTTAGGGCTTAGGGCTGGCTCAGGGCTCAGGGGCATTCAACTCCTCAGACCTATTGAAATTGAGGGTTTGTTGCTGTGGACCTTCCGTTTCAGCCTCCGAAAGGTGGGCAAGTGCGGCAAGTGCTGCAGGACAAGATTTCGGAATTTAGGGTTTAGGGTTCAGGGTTGAGGTTTTAGGGTTGATTGGGTGGGATTCAGGTTTAGGGGTTAGGGTTATTCCAGATCGCCCAGTTACCTCTGAATTGAGGAGCTCGATGGTGAGAACTCGGGTTTGGGACTTCGTAGGGTACTTCGAAAGATACAAAAGTTTCTGGCGGTTTAGGAAAATAGGGGATCCCCTTATTAAGAAGGACCCCAAGAAGGGGCACCCCGAATAAGAATATCATGAACCGCCCCCCCCCCCCCCCCCAATATCAGCACAAGTGAACCTTCCAGCCGGCCCTGTCGCCACTCCCCTCTTCCTGAGGGCAAAGCCGCCACTCCTCCTCCCGCAGCCCTGGTGCCCTGGGCATGGATGTACCTGGGGATTCATGGGCAGCCAGAAGCAGGGTAGGTATCATTATAACCTTCTCTAGGGCCACCTACTTACAGCTACCAATGAACCTTCAAGTAGGTTTCGGGAATTAGGATTCGTAAATTTGTATGGCTTTAGGTTGGTGCCACTCCCGACAGAGAAGCAAAGTTTTCTTTACTTTGAACTTCCCCACCCTGCAACTTAGCAGTTCGACAGACATATATCATCTGGGGTTGACGATTGGGCACTCCAAACCCTAAACCCTAAACCCTAAACCCTAAACCCTAAACCCTAAACCCTAAACCCTCTGCGGGATTCGCCTTGCACAATCCAGGTGCCCACCCGTAGATTCGTGCCCAATGTTTTAGAATAGAGTCCTAGACGGGCAGACGTCTACACACTTACAGGAAGGACTCACACTTGAGACCCTAAACCCTAAACCCTAAACCCTAAACCCTAAACCCTAAACCCTAAACCCTAAACCCTAAACCCTAAACCCTAAACCCTAAACCCTAAACCCTAAACCCTAAACCCTAAACCCTAACCCTACAAGGCCATGAGAATGCGAATGTGCATCGAAAACCTGCGGCAAACTTGGTAGCCCTAGACCCTAAACCCTTGGGATTGCACAGGATGGGACATCCGCCACTCATAAGGTCCGGACCCTGAACATGGTCCTGTGCCCTCAAACCAGCGCCAGACGAGCTTTTTAACATGGAGATCCGTGGACTGTGGATACCAGAGAGCAGACCAAAAGTGTATCAAAAGCTGCCAAAAGACACCTCCCCAAGCTTCAGAATGGTGAGTTTTCATGTCTCAAGCCTTCTCGAAAGCTTGTCGGCATTCGATGCAGGAACGGTTCTCATGTCTGACAGTTGATGGCCAATCACTGGCATCCGGCCAAGAAAGCTAACGCTTACGTGACGCGTGCGCGTACGTGCTGTTTTCTTGTTGGTTCGATCCTTGTTCCGGTGCGGTACCTTTTTTTTGTTTTAGTTTCTACTTTCGGTTCGCCCAGTTCGCGGCTCGGTTACTCTCTATCAGCCTAAAACTTCTAATATGTTTCAAAGCCTGAAACAAACTCAAAAACCTCTAAGCCCCTTTTCCTTGAAACCCTGAAGACCCTGACGGACCTACAAAACCCCTAATCCCTAGACAGCCCAGACCCCTGCAAATCACCGTGCCAGTCACCATCGCCGGAGCGTCTCTCGCTCAGCGTGGGCGGCTATGGCGCCGGAAGACCCTGGGCGAGTGATGCCAGGGGTTTGCTAAGGGTGGGCCTTCATTCGCTTTCTATCGGTGGTTCTTGTTCAGGAACTGGAACTTACATGAAGCTATACTAAGGTACCAAAACAGGGATATTGGTTTTTGTGCTGTAAAGATACTAACCCGGATTACTTGGAGGTTCATGGGTAGCTATAAGTGGGTTTATAAGCAGGGTAAGTATAAATATGAGCTAGGACCCAGAGTAGGCCCTTACTCCCTTTTTTGAGTTTTCAGGTTCCCTTATAAGCCCGCTTAAGCCAAAACGGGCACCCTTTTCATTCCTCGGCTACCTTTGGGTCTAGTAATTGGTTACCGTAGAACCTTACTTAGGATGCGGCTTGGAATAGGTACGTCGACGACCGACCCGCTGGGAAAACCGCAAACTAGACTCCCAAAGAGAACCCGAAGCTGCGAAGCTACGAGGAAGGAAGCCGACTCAGATGGACATCGAGGCCCCCCAGAAGGGTTTAGGGTTTAGGGTTTAGGGTTTGAGTCGTGTCTCAGGGTAGTTTAATGGTCCCTTACTATGGCCCTTAACCTCCTTTAAGGGCTTCTGAAATATGGGCCCTTGGGTCGTGTAGGGTATATGAGGGGTAAGGGGTACACTTGTAAGTTTTAAGGGCCCATACTAAGGGGCCCGTGTAACGACCCCCTAAGATCATTGGCCCCGAAACCCTTATCCTTTAAAGGGTCCAGTAAGATCACCCCCCCCCCCCCATTGTTTCCTCTTGGCCGGGGTTTAGGGTTTAGGGTTTAGGGTTTAGGGTTTAGGGTTTAGGGTTTAGGGTTTAGGGTTTTCCTCTTGGCCGTGGAGTGTCTTGTGCATGCTCATCGACACTGCCACCCAGCCGGGGAGCTCTGCACATTGCAGACGGCAAGATGCCAGTACTTGTGTTCAAACTTTTGTGAAAGCTTCACCGCAGTTGTGTATTTCCCAAAATAAGGGGTACCCTTTTATACGCCAAATTGAATAGAATCTCCTGAAAGGGATCCCCAAAAAGGGTCACCCTACTTTCGGAAACCCCCTTGGGCACCCATGTAAACTCGCCGCATTCACGGTGGACTTGAAACGCTCTCCGGCGGCGGTGAGTAGGCCCTTACTCCACTCCTTTAGGGTTCAGGTTCCTTTATAAGCCATATTAAACAAAAAAAAACACCTTTTGATTCTTAGGTCGGGGAGCGCGGGCGTGGGTGATGGCAAGAAAGGACCTCTAAAACTGGTCACATACTTGGTAGCCCACTGGGGAATAAAGGGCCTGGCAACTGATTTTAATGGCGCGCCGTGCGGAATTTTCTTACAACCAAAGTTGCATGCTGTGGCTGCCAGGCCCTTCGATACAAGCTGGCGCAGCTGCGCAAGGACACCAGGAACATGAAGGGCATGGAGGCGCGAATAGGGTTTAGGGTTTAGGGTTTAGGGTTTAGGGCGTGTGTGGGGGGAAGCTTGGGAGCCCAGTGGTGCCCCTTTTTTTTGTTCAAGGTCCCTCAGAAGGTATCCAACCCCAAAAACTAGGTAGGCCCCTGGGACATTTTATATTTTTCCCTTATTGGGTTTAAGAGGATCATAGTCAGGAACATTTTTCAGAGGGTTTTAAGGGCCATCCTAGAAAAGGTGCCCTTATGATAATATGGATGGGGCTACCAGGGAAGTTCAGGGTATGCCCCACACCCTACATCCTACGGGGTTCCTTCAGACAAGTTTAAGTAGCCCTACACTTCCCTCAACCTCCCTAAAGTCTACCGGAAAGGCAGAAGCCCCTCTTAACGCGCTCCCTCCTTGTGGGTTCTTCTAGATAAACCCGAAAACCCCAAGCCTTAAACTCTACTCTCTAAAGCCTCTGAACCTGAAACCATAAACCCTTACACCCTCAATCCGCATTTAAGCCCCTCCAACCCCGAAACTCTCGGCACTCCTGTGAACCCTGGACCCTAAACCCTAAACCCTAAACCCTAAGCCCCAAACCAGTGGGCTGGCACCTTGAAAGGTGTGTCCTGGGAAAGAAAGCCCTCAACCCTAGACCCTAAAGGCTGAGACGCAACCCCTCAGTCCTAACCCGTAGGCCCCTCAACCGCTGCAGCAGAAGTCGGGGAACTTCTGGACTCGGTTGGTTGTCGGTTTAAGGTTTATAGGTTTTATAGGGTTTATAGGGTTTATAGGGTTTATAGGGTTTATAGGGTTTATAGGGTGTATGGGGTTTATCGGGTTTATAGGGTTGATAGGGTTTATAGGGTTTAGGGTCCAGGGCTTAGGCAGACAGGGATATTGGGGCTGGAGGTCGTGTTTTTTGAGTTCTGGGATTGAAAGCTCTGACGTCGCAGCTGGACACCGTAGGGGAACTTCAGGCGAGTGCTTGCAGCAGTCTGAAAGGATTGGAATGTGACTGTTCCATTGATGTCCGTAGAGGGTCTAGGGTTTAGGGTTTAGGGTTTGGGGTTTAGGGTTCAGGGTTTAGGGTTTAGAGTAACCCGAGCTTAGGCAGGCGTCCAAAACCCTAAACCCATAAGTGGGGGAGTGGGAAGGGGGTTCCTATTCGGAACTTTGGAGACCCGGTAGAGTAGAGTAAGGGAACATTCGGTCACTCTCTCTCCCCTTAAGATACCCACAACAAGACCCCTCAACCCAAAAGGAGTCACTGTGTACCCTCAACCCTAAACCCCAAAAAGGGTTTGGGGTTTAGGGGCCCTAAACCCCAAACCCCAAACCCTCCACCATCACCCAACCAACTGGATCCCTGTCCACAGTCCTCCATCAAGTGGGAGATGGCCAGAGAGGAGGCGCCGTGATGCAAGAACTGGATTACCAGCCTAGGGTTTATAGGGTTTAGGGTTTAGGGTTTAGGGTTCAGGGTTCAGGGTTTAGGGTTTAGGGTTTAGTTTAGGGTTTAGGGTTTAGGGTTTAGGGCTTAGGTTGAGGGTTTTGGGTTTACGTTTAGGGTTTAGGGTTTAGGGTTTAGGGTGTAGGGTTTAGAGTTTAGGGTGTAGGGTTTAGGGTAACCCGAAACCCGAAACCCCTGTGTTCCTCAACCGCAACTCTCAGCCTTCGGAATCGCGTGGGTTTTTGTCAGGTTCAGGGCTCTTTGGGTAGTTAGTTACAAGTGGGGTGATAAGCAGGGGAATTGTAATTATGTGTATCTGGTTAAAGCCTTATGTAGGGTACTTATAAGCCTACATAGAACTACCCATGAACCTTCAAGTAGTCCGGGGAGCCCGAGACCTTCGACAAGCATTTCTCTTAACCGTGCAAGCAGAGACTCTACAAAAGTGTAGTGTTTTTTTTGTCCTTCCTTGAATGCGTGTTGGACTGCCTTGGTTTTACGGGCTGCTGTACTGGCCCTGGCTAGCAGAGGTGACCCAAGGTACGCCCCTAAACCCTAAACCCTAAACCCTAAACTCTAAACCCTAAACCCTAAACCCTAAACCGGCTCGCATAGCTTCGGCCAAAGACGTTCACTTTAAGGAAGGCAGGGGCCGCGAGAAAGCGCGGAGGTTTCAGGGTTTAGGGTTTATGGTTTTGGGGGTTAGGGTTTGGTTTATCGCTGAATCGTTGCTGCTTCGATGTCGATTGCAGCTCCCGCATTTTCTACAGGGTCGCGTGCGATGGGTACATTTGCCAGAAGGTCTTGTTTTCTGATACCTTTGGATCCGGACAAAAAAGCGATTCGATGCCTGGACCCTAGAGCCTCATACCTTGGACCCTTGAAAGTCTGAAGTTCCATACTCAGCACCAGGTTTACGTCTAAGTTCGCTGTGCCCGAAATGACAACTTCCTGTACAGCTCAAACCTCCAACGCCATAACGAGAAGTGCCCAGGTTAATAAGCCCTGAATGTTTATAATTTATAAGCCTACCCTAAGCCCGAAACCCTAAAGCCTGAACTCTAAACCCCTAACCACTAGACCCTGAACCGTAAACCTCAGCCGGGAGTAGACTATACACCGACTTACGCCCAAGCCATTGGGACAGGAGAGGGTGAAGAACAAGGAAGCCAAGCAGGACTGTGGGGTGTAGGATTAGGGCTTCGGGGTGGTGAGGGTATAGGGGTTTGGTTTTAAAGTGCTTGGTTTCGGGCGATAAACCCTATAAACCCCCAGCCCAACCCTAAACCCAAGTGATCCCGAGTGGCGTTTTGCACCCCTACCCCCCGCCTCCTCGCAAGACAGTTCGCTTTCAGGGTTTAGGGTTTAGAGCTTTAAGTTTAGTGCATGAACAGGCTGGCTATGCTTCTGTTCCTCCTTGGACTGTGAGTATAAACGACGGTCTACCAACTATAGCCACCCCCCTTTATGTCCGATAGGGGGTTGGGGCCTAAGCCTCTCCAAGGTTTGCAATTCGGGTGGGATGGCGGGCATTGCAGCTCATGCGCCGACCCAGCCCTTTCATTTCATGTAGCAGAGTAAACTCGCCGCGAGAAACCCCGAACCCTAAACCCGAAACCCTAAACCCTAAACCTTAAGCCCTAAGCCCTAAGCCCTAAACCCTATTTTATGCCCAAACCCCCCAAAGAAAACCGCAGGACAACCTCGCGTACATGAAGGCCCGCCAGGAGCTCGAGCAAGGTCTCCTTGAGTCCGGGGCCCAGGGTTGGGTTTTGGGTTTTGGGTGTAGGGTCTAGGGTTTAGGGTTTAGGGTTCAGGGTTTAGGGTTCAGGGGTTAGGGTTTAGGGTTTAGGGTTCCGGGTTTCGGGGTTTCAGGGTTTCAGGGTTTCGGGGTTTCGGGGTTTCGGGGTTTCGGGGTTTCGGGGTTTCGGGGTTTCACGGGTTCAGGGTTTCAGGGTTTCAGGGTTTCTTGGGTTTTGGGTCTACTTGAAGGTTCATGTGTCAGGCATAGTAGGCTTAGAAGTGCCCGAAGCAAGGTTCTGGCTAGGGGTCATCCCACTTTATAACCCTCCCACCAAGATCCGAAAAGGGTTAGGGTTTAGGGTTTGGGGTTCAAGGTTTAGGGTCGGAGTTAGGGTTTAGGGTTTAGGGTTTAGGGTTTAGGGTTTAGGGTTTAGGGTTTAGGGTTTAGGGTTTGAAGGCTTGGGGTTGCACCGTCCTCTTCGAGCTGTCCACACTGGCCTGCACACCATGTGCTTTCCGTGTCCAAGAGCACCAATCAGTGGTACCCTTTGGGGGTTTAGGGTTTAGGGTTTAGGGTAGTTTAGGGTAGTTTAGGGTTTAGGGTTTAGGGTTTAGGGTTTAGGGTTTAGGGTTTAGGGTTTAGGGCAGCCCATTGCAGCCCCGTGGTACCCTTTTTCCCTGTTTGTTGGTTCAAGGTGCCCTTATACAGGAAGCCACCCACAAAGAGGTTGCCCTTATTATAATGTGGTTACTGGGATGCCAAGCAATTGTTCTTGCAGGCCTATATCAGTTTCTTGGGGGGTGTTCAGGCCGAGATTGTTTTGTAGCAATGCCAGTCCCTTGGGGCATTCAGGCCGAAACCCCACCCCAATTATCCTGAACAGTACTGGAGGGGTCCAATGTGTCTGGGAGGAGGATTTGTACATGAACCCTAAACCCTGAATACCCCAATCATCCGGGACCACGTGCAAGTCTGCAAATTTTCTTCGGAGTTGAAGAGACACATATTTGACTCGGTTCCATGCTTGGACGTGTGTCCTGATGCGTCGGCTGTGTCCTTCGGGATATGCGTGCACAGATTGAGGTCATGCTCGTGGTACTTGCAGGCACATTTAACTACAGGTCCATTTAACTACAGGACTTACTCGACCCAAATTATAACCAAAGCCTCAACCAGCAACTCCAAACTCAACTTTGAAGCACCTATGAACCTCACCTGCCTGTCTCCAAGGAACGCGCAGCACGCGCTGGACGTCAGCGTGCAGCAGGACTGCGGATGTGTCTTTCTGCCCCACGGGAGGATGCAAAGCATCTTGACTCGTAGATTTGAACACGAAACCCTGCACCCTCTTTGGTTTTGTCCAGAAATAAGCTTCACCTGCCCCCCCCCCCCCCACCCCCAGAACTGCCAAACAGTTTCAGTGCTGGGCTGGGGGAGTGGTGGTTTAGGGATTAGGGTTTAGGGTTTAGGGATTAGGGTTTAATTAGGGTTTGGTGGACATACTCGTTCGGCTATGAGGCGCAAGGAGTTTTCGGCCCTTGGGTTGTCAAACACCATGTCTCTGAACTGTAGAGAAGCTGGCACGACATGAAGGTCACGCATCCAAGTAAACCCAAAGTTTGGCGAGTCTCGCCCTGAACCTCATCCCTTAAACCCTAAAACCCTTAGACCCTTAAACCCTCAAACCCTTGAACCCCTAAGCCCTTAAAACCCTCAAACCCTAAACCCCTAAACTCTAGACCCTTAAACCCTAAACCGTCCACACCGCTTAGTGAAATGCGACCTTCACCAGCTTAACCCCCAAGATGTTGGAGGCTCTAAACTTAAACCCTGAACCCTGAACCCTAAACCCTAAACCCCAAACCCTTAGGGTTTAGGATCTTAGTGGTTTGACTCTCCTGAACTGTGCAGGAGCTCGCCGACCGCAAGGACTACCAGGAGCGCTCTTCAGTCCCTCTGGTCCGGTTTAGGCTTTCGGGTGTAGGGTTTAGGGTTTAGGGTGTAGGGGTGTAGGGTTTGGTGTACGGCTTAGGGTTCTGTAGGGTCTAGGGTTTAGGGTTTAGGGTGTAGGGGCTGCCAGCAAGAAAGAAGTTGGGACCGCTCATCTTTTTCAGATGGCCTTCTCAGGGGTTCGCAGTTCCCGAAAGGAGCAGTACGCACGTAAACCCTGAACCCTGAACCCTAAACCCTAAACCCTAAACCCTAAACCCTAAACCCTAAACCCTAAACCCTAAACCCTAAACCCTAAACCCTAAACCCTAAAACCCTAAACCCTGAACCCTAACCCCTAAACTGGCCATCAGCGCAGGGCTTCCCCACCATTCCTCCCTGAATCCTAAACCCCAAAGCCAAAGGCCTACATAAACCCTGAGCCACCCTAAACCCCCAGTCACCCCAAGTCCTATAAACCCTACAGACGAGCTAAACCCCGGGAGGTCTCCCTAAACCCTAAACCCTAGTGCCTAAGGGCCTAAGGGGTTTCAGGGCGTCGGTGAACCCTGGCCCCAAGCTCGGGCCTACGTCTCGACATGTATTAGGGGATTAGGGCTTTGGGCTTACGTTGCTACATTCGGTTTCTTGTCAAAGGTAATCAAATAGATTGGCAGTTTGCTACAATATATTCTTTTCTTTTGGTAAGCCAACAACCCTAGTTAAACCCTAAACCCCAAACTCCAAACCCCAAACACTTAACCCTAAATCGTAAACCCTAAGCCCTGAACCCCAAACCCCCAAACCCTAAACCCCAAACCCTAAACCCTAAACCCTAAACCCCAAAACCTAAACCGCAAGCCCTGAACCCTAAACCCCAAACCCTAAGCCCCAAACCCCAAAACCCTAAACGCTAACCCTAAGCCCCAAACCCCAACCCATAAACCGAAACCCCGAACCCCAAACCCTGTGCCCCAAACCCGAAACCCTAAACCCCAAGCCCTCAAACCCTAAACCCCAAACCCCAGACCCCAAACCCTAAACCCCAGACCCCAAACCCTAACCCTAAACCGTAGAACCCTAAAACCCTAAAACCCTAACACCCTAAAAACCTAAACCCCAAACCCTAAACCCTAAACCCAAAACCCAAAACCCTTAACCCTACACCCTAAACCCTAAACCCTAAACCCAAGCACCCCAAAAAGCCCTGCGGCAGGAGTTCAAGCGTGCAGTCCGTCACCAGGCGCCGGGCTTTGCTGGAGGGCCCCCCCCCCCTCCCCCCACTGCCCGGTAGAGGGTTCAGGGTTTAGGGTTTAGGGTTTAGGGTTTAGGGTTTAGGGTTTAGGGTTTAGGGCTTGGGGTTCCTTGATTAATGCGGAAGTATCTCTTGAACCACATTTGGGCGCCGCTGAAAGGGATTCTTGGCCTTTTGGGGGCACTTGAACCCTGAACCCTGAACCCTAAACCCTAAACCCTAAACCCTAAACCCTCAACAAGCCACCCGGAGCCTCCGTATGTCCCCTCATCCGCCAGGAAATCAAGGATGAGAAGCAGCGCATCACCACGGACTACCTCGAGCAAAAGGCGGAGCTGCGTGTGCTTGGCTTTCAGCTTAGCCCCTGAACCTTGGGTTCAGGGTTCAGGGTGTAGAAGTTTAGGGTTTTTGGGGTGTTTAGGGTTTTAGGGTTTTAGGGTTTTAGGGTATTAGGGTTTAGGGTTTAGGGTTTAGGGTTTAGTGCTTAGGGTTTAGGCGTTAGGGCTTTAGGGGTTTACTCTTGGGATGTTCCCCCTTATACTAAGAGTCCTTAATAGGGATGGTCATAGGGGGTACTATAATCCCTGTTAGGGACTGTTAGTATAAGGGGCAACATCCCAACCTGAACCCCTTCTCAAACTAAGCTCAACACCCTTTCAGAATTACTTTCTCCGTTGTGTTGAAAAGTAAGTTTTTTTGTGAGCCTCTGAACCGGTTTCAACAATGACCGCCTTGTGCACTGTCTTTCTTGTTTTGGAGGTTCGCCTCTCTCCGAAACTAGCCCAAAAGCAACAACAGGTCTTCACTTCACGAGGAGCTCCCTATAGGCCGTAAACCCTAGAGGCCCAAAGCCCTAAACGCTTAAGCCCTACACCCTAAAGTCCTAGACGCTAGGCCGACGCGAGGCCCGAAACCCTACAACAAAGCGGCCAAAACGCAGAACAGCACGCGCCTGCTATGGTTTCGTGACACGGAACCTAGGCCCTTGGCGTGTGTTATATTTCCCCCTCTGGGGTTCAAGAGGACCACACATCTAGGAATATTTTCAGAGGGTTTTAACGCCCGTCCTGCAGCATTTGCCCACATCTCCGTTTCACTGTGTACCTATGCTAAGCTTACCCCCCGAAACCCGCGCCCGTGCCTATAAGCGACACCGCGACGTGCGTGCTGTGCCTCCTGGATCTTTCGCGTGCGCCGGTGACTGCAGCCTGACCCTCCTTACTCCGAATTTAGGGTTCAGGGTTCAGGGTTTAGGGTTTAGGGTTTAGGGTTTAGCGACCCTGAACCCTAAGAACCCGAAACCCTTTAGACCTACGAGACATCGAGTAGAGCCGGAACTCTCCTACCTGCTGAACTGGCTAAACCCTTTCCATGCTAGCTAGTACAGCTGTTGCACATTGTGGCGAGCTCCTGGGGGCGACCAGTTTTTGAGATCGCTCCCGATCGCAAACTAACCCGCGGAAGCCAAGCCGAACGCCTCGTGCTGTCCGAATTCTCCCGATCTCTTCGAATGCTTGCGAACGCTCATTCTCACCTGACCGTATAATACGCAACAGGACCAAAGAGTCATTACGAACTCTCAGAAACGTTAGCACGAACGAACTTAGCAGGTCAATACCCTCGTTTAGCCGGGTCGAGGGCTAGGAGGGGAGCCCAACTGAAACTCGCACTGATTATGTTTTTTCCTTAGTATCATTGAAATTATTACTATTATTATTATTGCTATTATTATTATTATTATTGCTATTATTATTATTATTTCGATAGCTATGACATTCAGCCAGGACTACTCCGAGTGGCAAGCGCAGAACAAGCGCGCCCAGCAGGCGGAACAGATCAAGAATGACATCGAGGCACCGCTCGTATCTTGCCTGTGCCCTAAGCATTAGGCCGCACACACACACATATATATATATATATTTATATTTATATAATTCGTATATATGACGAGAAATAAACACACATGTAAATAAGTCAAAAACAACCTATACATATACACTTGGTAGCCCAGTGGTGCCCTTTCCCTTTCTTTCGATCTGGGTCCCCTTACACCGCAACCAACCACAGAAAGGGTACCCGAACTGTGGTATCTTACTGGGCTAGCAAGTTTTTGGTGCTTAAGGGTTTAAAGATCCGAACCATGTACCACGTTATTGTATACTTGGGCCCTAAAAAGGATGTACTTCAAGGACCAAGTCTTCCTTATTTAGGTAGTACTATAGACCATCCTAGACCCTATGACCCTAAGCCCCACGCACATTATATACCTTCGACTCGCAGCTCACTGGCAAGACTTGATTTTTGTGGTAGATGTTTGTAATAAACTCCTGGCGAACTAAAAGTTAGAAAAGTGCTTGGCATGAAGCTTAGGGGTTCGTGGTGCTGGAGAAGCTTAAAGCCCAAGTCATGACCGCTCATGCATCAAGCGAGAGGTTGTCACACCTAAGTTAAAAAATCGGTCCTGAAAACAATCGGGGTTTTCCGAAATTAGGGGTACCTTATCAATTATCGGCGTCCTCATTCTAAGGGAATCTTACTATGTGAGGGACTATTTTGGGGGTCCTGTATTGTCATAAACCCACAATAGCCCTGAACCCTGAACCCTAATCCCCTGAGGTCCGGCCTCTCGGCAACCCCCATCGCCAAACCCGAAACCCCAAACCCCGAGTTCAGGGTTTAACGAAATATATATTCCAATTTTTGAAGCCCAACCCCCAACCCCCTAAACCCCTAAACCCCGAACCCTACAGCTGAAGAAGGCCCGAACGCCCAAACCCTAAACCCTAAACCCTAAACCTTAAACGTAAAGCAAGCCAGGCCCACCTCGAAACGCGCAACTTCATCGCGGAGTTCCGCGCGGAGGCCCTTGCCGAACCCTGAATCCCGGTAGGACCTAAGACCCTACACGATGGAAAGCTTCTAATGTTGGGGTCGGAATAATGACTAATAGTATTCCATAGGGACCCTTTGTATTTCTACCATAATAACCCCCCAGAACCCTATATTCAAACTTTTGCGGGCTCCACCTTCACCGTCAAACCTTCCGGGGGTTCGTGGAGCGTTCGGCCTGTTCGGCCTCCACCTTCACCCTAAACCTTAAGCCCATGATTCCCTCCCGGTTTAGGGTTTAGGGTTGAGGGTTGAGGGAGTTAGGGTTTAGGGTTTCGGGTTTCGGGTTTAGGGTTTACGGTCCAACAAAGATTGTAGAGCCAATGCAGGCCCCAGGTTTCCCTTCCGAGCGCCTTGCTTACGAGGACCCTTGAGCCTCCAAGCACAATAGTACAATGTTGATATCATAGTACAATCTAATACTGATGCAATAACATATTCAAAACAACTATTCTCAAAGGGACCCCCCCCCCCAAAAGGGTACCCCTATTTTCAGAACCCCCCCCCCACATTCCTTTTCGTTGTCATAGTTGGGTAACATTTTACATTTTTAAGGGTACTTAAACCCAATAAGGAATAAACACAGAAAATACACTTTTAATATTATCCCAACAATGAACAAGATTTGTTTGTTGAGTGTTCTTAAAGCAAACAGTCGAGAAGCGCAGGCGAAACAGCGTCAAGATGTGGAGGAGCTTGAGGCCATCTCGGTTTGGTTAGGGACTAGGGTTAGCGACTGAAGGTTTAGGGTTTGGGATTTAGGGTTTAGGGTTCAGGGTTCAGGGTTCAGGGTTCAGGGTTTAGTGTTTACTGTTTTCTTGGGAGGTTTTTGAGTCATGTTTGAATGCCAGGGGCTGTTTTGTTGCAGGGGTTTCGGGCTTAGGGTTCAGGATTTCGTGTTTCGGGGTGTTTGGTTGCAGGTTATAAGTATAGTTGCCCTACTCATAACCCCACTTGTAATTGCCTATGAACCTCCAAGTAGCCCTAAACCCTAAACCCTAAACCCTAAACCCTAAACCCTGAAACTGCAGGTACTGGGCTAAGGAATCGTGTCGCTTCGGTTGTGAGCACTCGGCAACGCAGGGCTTGCCCCGAACCAACTCCTCGAGCTTCGACTTGAGGAGTTTAGGGTTTAGGGTTTAGGGTTTAGGGTTTAGGGTTTAGGGTTTAGGGTTTAGGGTTTAGGGTAACAAGAGACTCTTGAGGTCCTGATTCCCCTTCCGACGTTCGCGCCAGAGCTGTATAGAGCCTAGGGCGAGGAGCTGGCTCACTTAAGCACCTAAGAAAGACTACGAGGGGTTTGGGGTTTAGGGTTTAGGGTTTAGGGTATAGGGTTTAGGGTATAGGGTGTAGGTTTAGGGTTTAGGATTTGGGGTTTAGGGTTCAGGGTTTACTTCGGGGTCTTCCACAGATACAGCCCATGCATCTCTTACATGTAAGACGAGTCCTACATCCCCTTCGAACGGCCAACAACCTAGATAAAGTGGGGCGCTGTAGAGAGTTAGGGCTGTTAGATTCAGGGGGGGGGGGTTGGGGGATAGGCAGTGTCCCACAAGTGTTTTCGGCAGGATCGGCTGGAGGCGGAACACGAACATCTGACTCTGGCGTACACCAAGGCACAGCATAATCGGGGGGGGGGGGGGGAAGGGGGAGGATCAAGAAGGGGGTGGCTTCGTTTTTTTAAAGTTAGTGTTCGAAACCTTAAACCTTAAACCTTAAACCCTAAACCCTAAACCCCTGCACCCCTAATTAAGCCCCTAAACCCCTGAACCCCTAGACCCCTAAACCCCTAAACCCCTAAACCCCTAAACCCCTAAACCCCTAAACCCCTAAACCCCTAAACCCCTAAACCCCTAAACCCCTAAACCCCTAAACCGCTAAACCCCAGGCGCTATACCGGTTTCGGCTTACATGTAGCTTATAAACTTCGGATTTAGCGGAAGCTTCGGGTGTCTTCTGTTTTTGGAGGGCCCTACAATAGTGGACGGTGTCGTTGCGCTCAGCATTGGTTTCTTGATGGGTTTCGGTTCAGGGTTTGGGGTTTCGGGTTTAGGGCTAGGACTCAGACCAGGCCCGTATTCTTGTTTTAGTGTTGAGGTTCCCTTATATAATCCTCGGTTAAAGGAAAAAGGACACCCTTTTCATTCTTAGGTTACTCTTGGGTCTTGAATTCCCGAAGCCCTTAACCCTCAACCCTAGACCTTATAAACCCATCCTTGAGTAGATCGAACCCCCAGATTTCGGAATGAATGCTAGGACTGCTAGGATGGGTCTCTAAAATATTGTATCGTGCAATGTGGTTTCGGGTTCAGGGTTTCGGGCTATACTCAAAGGACTTGCAGCCTGAAAACCTTGGCCCATACGCCTTAACCAGTAAGCTTAGGGTTCAGGGTTTAGGGTTTTGGGTTTAGGTTCCTTTGAGCCATGTAGGATGTCAGTTCAATTGTCCCACAGATTCTGTCCTGAAGTCACCAAAGGCCGCCCTACGCTAACAATCCTGATCTATTGGGGTTTAGGGTTTGGGGTGTAGGGTTATTAGCTCATGTGTGAGGGTGCGGGTCTAGGGTCTTTAGGGCTTAGGGATTAGGATTTCCATGACTAGACTTGGTGTTGTTTTCCTACAGCCCTGCCTTGACCCTGTACCTTGAAGCAAAGGTCAGTATGCCAAGCAACTGTGGTGAGAGGTGAGATTCTTCTCTCTTGAGAGAGTATGATTGTTACTTTGGGTAAGATTGCTTCCGCCTTCTCCCCCCCCTCCCCCCCCCCACAAACGGTATAAAACAAAAAAATTCCGTCTACCACTCTATAAGCCCAAGGGTTTAGGGCTTAGGGTTTAGGGTTTAGGGTTTAGGTGAGCTCCCCCTTCGCGCAGGTGGTTCGCGAGCGTGAAGAGGCCATCGACGCCTTGGAGTGCGGGGCCTGGCTAAGCTTGCTTGAAGGTTCATGGGTCGCTATAAGTAGGGTTTAGGGTTTAGGGTTTAGGGTTTAGGGTTTAGGGTTACTACTTGAAGGTTCATGGGTCGTCAGAAGTAGGGTTTTAAGTACCCTAAATGAGGGCATAACCACTTGTAGTTGTAGTTGCCTGACTTCTGACCCCACTTCTAACTACCCATGGGCCTCCAACTAGGTTGTCGGGGTGTTGAGAGAGATGCACGCTTTGGCTCAGGGTTTGTAGGGGTCAGGGCTTACATTAGGGTCCATGGAGTTTTGCAGGGTTTTGTTTGGCATTGCTGAATCGCTGGAGGCCTTCCATATCCGGTTTAGGGTTTAGGGTTTAGGGTTTAGGGTTTTCAGATCCACGTGGTGTCGCGGCGGTTCAGAAAGAAGCTGCGGGACTCCGCTCAAATGAGACACGGGACGATGCCTCGGTATGCTTGCTCTCAGATCTGTGAGCCACGGCCAGAAAGCAGCAGCGAAGAATGAAAATCGCTGAACTGCTTACGCTTTGCGGCATTAAATTCTTCGAGATGCAACGGAAGCTTTCAAGGACGGATGCGTTATCGAGGAGATGAGATATTTGATGGTTGAGGGGCCTGCAAAAAATGCATAGGGTTCGAGAGCTGCGCCCTCATAAGAAAAATCCTTGGCACCACTTGCAAAATCTGCGTGTGTGCCAGTTTCAGGGTTTAGGGTGCAGCGCGCCGTGTTTGGATAATTGGGTTTAACTGCCAATTTTTCCGCAAGGGTACCTATATCGTATATACTTGGGCCCTGCAACTACGTTATAGAAACCCGTGTAAGGCCCAAGTAAACAGCATATACTCTAAAACCTGAATCCTGCACCTTGAACCCTAAACCCTAAACCCTAAACCCAAACCCTTGTATGAGTACATGGACACTTTGGGAGGGTTGCTTGGCTGAGGTACGCTCGCACACGACAGCAGGCGCCTGTGCCGCCGGATCAGCATCCCCGGCCCGTTGCTTTGGAGCCGTGAGGGTGCATGTCCGGTTTGGGGTTTAGGGTTTAGGGTTTAGGGTTTAGGGTTTCGTATTAACCTAGTGTTTAGGGTTTTGGGTTTGGGGCTTAAAGAACAAGGTAAGCCTTGGGACATTCTGCATTTCCATTTTTTGGTTTAAGAGGATTTAGGGTTTAGAGCTTATAGGGTCCAGGGTTATAATCAGGTGAGAGATGTTTTTCAGAAGGTTCTAGTTGCCATCCTAGTTTCGGGTGTGGGGTTTGAGGGTTGCGGTTTTCAGGGTTTCGGCTCTAGACGCTCTAGAGCTTTAGCTTTCGGGTCGAGGTTGGAGGGTTTCCGGGCTAGGGTTGGGGTTTGAGAGTTTAGAGTCTCGGTTTTTGGGTTCATGGGTCGGGTCCGCTGTCGATGTCAGCATCGCGGAAGCCATGACACTTGCAACGCCAACAGCTCAGGTCGGCGCAGCCCTAAGCCCTAAACCCTAAACCCTAAACCCTGCAACCCCTAAACCCTCGCACCTGAACCGCTCAGACCCACCGGAGATTGCCAGGCACGTGCCCGTCTGGTTTGCGTCGAAGACGTAGCGCGCAAGCCGAGCCCGACTCGGCACCAGCTTTAGTGTGTAAGTGCAGGGTTTAGGGTAGTTTAGGGTTTGCAGGTTTAGGCTTATAGGGCTTAGGTTTAAGTTTTCAGGTTTAGGGTGTCGGGGTTCGCGCGGAGGGTTCCGGGCTTAGGCCTTCGGGTTTTGCACTGCTTCGAGTTATTTTACGGCTAGGCAGGGCTCTTCGGGGTTTAGGATGCTGTTAGCGCGTAGCGCTAGGGCTGAAGTAGGGCTTTTCACCCAAGACTAAGTAAGGGTTTTGGGATTTACGATTTGTGGTCTTGTACGGGTTTGGGGTTTCGCTTATATGGGTAAGTTTTGCGCTTACGGTAACCCTCTTGTTGTGAGGCCCTCAACCTGAATCGCCCTAGCCACCCCAGGCCGTGAACCCCAAACCTTTTGAACCCTAAAACCCTAGTTTCCAACCCGAAACTCTGAACCCTAAACCCTAAATTCCAACCCCTAAACCCTAAACCCTAAACCCTAAACCCTAAACCCTAAACCCTAAACCCTAATTTCCAACCCCGAAACTCCGAACCCTAAGCTGCAAGCCCTCAACTTTCCGTGGCCTGGGGTGGAGGTCGGAAGCTGTCGGCCCGGAAAGGTGGAGGGTTTAGGGTTTAGGGTTTAGGGTTTAGGGTTTAGGGTTCAGGGTTCAGAGTTTCAGAGTTTCAGAGTTTCAGGGTTTAGGCCCCGGAAACGGTTCCCTAACAGCCTAAAGGGCCCATGGTCATAAGCCAACCAGGAGTCCCAAAAGCGCAAAAAAAAAAAGCTTCGGGAGCCCCAAGAGTCGCAAGTAAGCCATACCTAGAGTGGGCCCTTATTTCCTAGGTAGGCCCCTGGGACATTCTTTATTCAGGAATATTTTTCAGAGGGTTTTAGGGGCCATCCTAGTTTCCCTTTTTTGTTCCTAGGTTACTCCTGGGTCTAGTTATATACTAGGACAAAGAGTTGGCCCTTATTCCCTTTTTTGTAGGGTTTGGGTTCCTGAGGGCACCCTGTTGGTTCCTAGGTTGCTCTTGGGTCTAGCTGTCGGAGACCCAAGAATTCTCACACACCCCTACCCGAATTGCACCACAAATCCTGGAACCTTACGGTATCGCCTGCCGCTCCTCAGCCCAGTTCATAGGCTGTTGCACCCCCCGGGAAAAAGGCCGTCAACGCAAGGGATGCTAGGTTTCCAGGGGCTTAGGGGTGGTTCTCAGGGCTTAGGGTCCGAAGCCCTTAGCCCTCTAGCCCCTGGAGCAGTTAAACCCCCCTACCCCAAAAAACACACACGGACTCTCTAAATGATGGGCCCTTTGGTGGGTAAGCTATTCATGTGGCTCCGCCTGTTATGGGGGTTTACGGAAAATCGGGGACCCCGAAGATAGTCCCGCAAATAGTAGCATCCCCGATAAAAAGGACCCCAAGAAGGTACCCCGAACATCGTAAATCCTCTTAGAGGAATCCCAAAGGGGAGCAGGGATCCCCCTCTATACCTTCGGCCATAGCGCGTGAATCCGCCATGAGCGCGGTCGTGTGCCACCATTGCAAAGCCACCCAGCCCCTGGGCGCAGAGACCCGAGCCCGAAACCCGAAACCCGAAACCCGAAACCCGAAACCCTAAACCCTAAACCCTAAACCCTAAACCCTAAACCCTAAACCCTAAACCCTAAACCCTAAACCCTAAACCCTAAACCCTGCAGCTTGCTTTTCTTAAGCAGGTTCGGAATGCTGAAGGATCCTAAACTACCCCCCTCCCCCCGTAGTAGAGAATGTGGGCGGCAAATTTTGCGTGGTCTCCTGCCGCGTGTTTCAAAGCTGTGGTCTCACATTAGACCAGGTTTAGGGTTTAGGGTTTAGGGTTTAGGGTTTAGGGTTTAGGGTTTAGGGTACATCCCGCAGAGCCAAAGACCCTAAACCCTAGAGCACTAAAGCCTTAACCTTCACCCTAAAGCTATGATGCTTTAAGCCCTAAACCTTAAACGCTACACCCTAAACCTCAGAAACCCTGCGCCGTTAACCCTCAACCTGAGAAACGCTGCACCCTAAACCCTAAACCTCGGAAACCCTGTGCCCTTAAGCCTGAGCACGAGGATGCCTGAGAAGCCCTCTATACACCCTAAACCCGAAACCTCAGAAACCCTAAGCCTAGAAACCCGGATGCACCCTAAACCCTAAACTTCAGAAACCCAAGACCCTATACTAAACCTACACCCTGAGCCCTGAAAAGCAAACAAACCTTGAAACCGTTAAACCCTGAAAACCCAAACCCTGAAACCCTAAAACCCTAAACCCTAAACCCCAAACCCAAGGGGCATCCCTGGGCTGCATCTGAGGCGCATGGGCTTTTGGGAGCTCCACACACGGCTGGGGCAGCGCCAGCCCGAGCGGCTTAGGGTTCAGGGTTCAGGGCTTAGGGTTTAGAGGTGAGGGTTTAGGGTTTGGGCTCAGGAGGTTAGAGGTTTAGGAGCTTCGGGGTTTTGGGTTTTAGGTTTTCAGGGTTTCGGTTTTTCGGGTTTGGGGGTTTTGGGGGTCTGGGGTTCAGACATAAGGGAGATGGTTGTTTGGGACGTTGTTTTTTTGTTTGGTGCTTTTTGGGGTTTTCGAGGCGGGTGCAGGAGTTTGTGGGTTCCCAAAAGGCGGTGGTTAGCGCAAGGCGTCTAAGGCACTGACAAGTGGGTGTTTCCCAAAGAAAGGGAAGCCCTAATGTCCCATGAGCATACATTTCCTTTCGGAGGCTGTAAGGTTTAGGGTTTAGGGTTTAGGGTTTAGGGTTTAGGGTTTAGGGTTTAGGGTTTAGGGTTTAGGGTTTAGGGTTTAGGGTTTAGGATCAGAAAAGGGTACACCACATTTTTGCACCCCCTCCCCCCCTCCCCCTCCTTGGGTTTTACGTAGGATGCTTGCCGTGCAAGCCATTAGCCAGGTCAGGGTGCAAGCAAGTTGCCCCAACTTCGGGTCTAGGGTTTAGGGTTTAGGGTTTAGGGTTTGGGGTTTAGGGTTTAGGGCTCCCTAAACCCTAAACCCCAAAACCCCAATGAAGACAACTTTTTTGCGGATGAGCTTGCCAGTTCCGTGTTGTCAAGTTTTGCCTGTGCTTGAAACGCGCGATTGTGCGTTTAATCTGGAGCCCAATTTGGAAAACAATGGGGGGGCGGGGGGGGGGGGGGGGTACTCCCCCCAATATACCCCAAGCATACGAGAATCCCTTCAACAAGGACCCCGTAGCCTAGCTTTAGCAAACCCTGCGTCCTAGAAGCCCCCAAACTTCAAACCCCAGGGCCTGGGTGTTCAGGGTTTGGGGTTTAGGGTCTCGAGTTTAGGGTTTATGGTTCAGGGTTTAGGGTTTAGGGTCAGGGCTCCCCTAGTTGCGCAACTTGGCCTCTAGTCGAGTACTTGGCGTTTCATGGGTAATCATGAGTAGGGTTATACGTACCCTAAATAAGGTTATTGCTAGAGTTGTCCCACTTAGAAGCCTACTTAGAACTATGCGCCCCTTAAGCCCGAAAACATGCCTATCTCGCGTTTCAAAAAGCAGACCTAGGTGCTATGAGGAAGAGCATAGCCAGAACTCCCACCACGTGACGGCCACATGGCGTCTTTTTTTGTTTTTGCTTTGTGCTGCTTAAATCTGCTTCGGGGATTAGTTGGGTTTTGGGGTCTGGTAGGGTTCACTTTGTGTTTTGGCTGAGCGGTTGAGGTTTAGGGTTTAGGGCTGACAGAACCTTAAAGCCCTAGATCCCTTTAGGGTTCGGTTGGATAGGGGTTAGGTTAGGGGTTTAGGGTGCAGGGGTTTAGAGTTTAGGGTTTAGGGTTTGCGGTGCACGGATCTTTGGCCAACACAGTTTTTGACCCCCAAGCCCCGTGCTCCATGTTTGTTTCCAGGCACCCAGGAACAGCCTGCGGTAGTGTGAAACACCTGACTCCTGGGGGGGGGGGTGGGGGGTGGTCAGTCCCTAAGCCCTATCAACCTTAACCCCCCTCCCCCCAGGTCGATGAAGGTAGAGAAGCCTGCAGAGAACGCTTCTTCGGTAGCCTTGCGCCTTACGCAGC